TTTCTAGATATTTTCAAGTTAATAAAAGAATAATGTTATTCTTATTGAATGTTATAAGTTAACATTCAAGCACATTAAGTTTCAATCATTAGTCGTTAATTTTAATGAAGCAACTAAATCCAGAATTGAAGACTGAGTTGATTGAAAGGACGTACCAGTTTGTTATAAAAAGATACAAAACCATAGCCTTTGGACTTTCCAGTTGCCATGTCTTTAACTACCCGGGCATCCCTGTGAAAAGAAGCACAGCTAAATGAGGGAAGTAAAAGTCACCCTCAAAATAAAAACTAAAAGGAACCACACACACTGTATTGTGAGCATTTTAAAAATAAACTCCAGTTAGCCCTAATTAACTACAGCCATTCCTGAACTCTCCCTAATGCTTCTTTACCTGTTAGAAAAAAGCAGTAGGACAAAAACATGTAATAAACATGCAACCTAATCACATAACCTGTGCTTGCTAACTAGATACTCAAAGCTGAAGATTAATAGGAACAACAGTTTCCTTTTCTAATATTCTATTTGCTAGTGTCCTCTAAGATTTACTGATTCTATAAATTACTGCAACAATGCTAACTACTTTACCATGCAATATCTAAATAGTTAAATGTCTTCTGCCTAGTGATACAAAATATATGAAATATTAAAAAATTGAAAAAGAGGAAAAAATAGGAATTAAAAAGGCATACATGGCCTGTTAACAGATTTCTTTATTTTTCTTGGTCAATTCTCTATCATCATTTTGGAGTTTGGGCAGCTGTAAATTTTGAAAAATTGACATTTTCAGAAATTTAAGAAAGGAGAATAAAAAACTAACAACAACGCTAAGCACACCAGTACGAAAACAACAAATTTACACAGAAATTTTAGTGAGTAAGTTAAAATGATTGGAAATATAGAACTCCACTGAATATAGAATGTTAAAATGTAAATACTAAAATATGTATATATAAATAATGTATAATAAGAATAAATAGAAATGAGAAAAAAAATCTACAACTGAGTTCCAGTGTGCACAGTTCCTTGCAGTTAGCCTTCAAGATCCTGTCCATTCTTATGAGCAATTCTGCAAAATAACCAGAATGCTATTACTTTTAATTGTGACTTGGACTGTAGAAAAACTGCAGGTCTCAGGTATAAATAAAGATCAAAAACAGCAACCTGTATCATTTTATACTATTTTACAACAGTACTACTTACCACACTTAGATTAAAAAGCAAAGCAAATATCAAAACAGAAAATTAAGAATTAAATGTTTCTTACAAATAAATCTATAGAACAACAAATTATATAAAAATTAATAGAAAAGTTGTTGTTCTTAATCAAAACATTTCTGTAGTCATACATTTAAATTGACAAATATATAACAAATTCATTTTAATTAAAGATAAAATGACATTTTACAAAACTTGCAACCATTTTCTAAAATATTGAATCAAATAACAAAATTTGAGCACATATATTTTTTAAAAATCAACCCATACTTGTCCCTTCCCTAGCAGAATCAAATATCACTAACAAAAATCAAATTAATCTCATATTTATTATCTAGACAAGAAAACATTTTAATATTGCATTAGTATTCTTTTTCTCAAAGTTAAATATCAAAATACATTTGTCATTATATTTAAACATGAACATTTCCAATTTAACCATGATATATTCAAAGATTTGCTTAGATTTCCCCCAATTATAAACTCCTCCAATAAAAGTTTAATACACAATATAAATCACAGTTTTTATTAACCCAATATACTTAAGCATTAAGATTTGAAAACATTTGACAAAAAGCTGGAAGCTTCAACATTTGAATATTTGCTTTAAATATAACCAACAGAATCACTTAAAATTTTAAACATTATACACAGGATTATCTGAAAACAAGACCCTAAACATTGAAATGACATCAACATTTGCAACAACATCTACTCAAAAAACAAAACAAAACAAAAGTAAAAACCAAAGAAAAACACACTAACTAGAGAAAGAAAACCTTGATTCTAATACAAGTTAATCATACAGTTTTGCCTATCACTACTGAGTCTGATACTGATTATGATACTTACGATATTTTACCAAAGGGGGCAAATGCTGATTTGATATCTTCTGTTGTAATTTCTGGACTCAAATCCCCAACAAACACATGGAAGTGATCTGAAATCAAAGCATTTGGTAATCAAATACTTAAGAAATCAGGCAACACTAAAGGAGGAAAAACACCTTAGGTGAGCTGGTAATGCTGCCAGGACAACGTCACGCTTCCACAGTAAATGCAGCAGGCGTACTTACTGGAAGTATCTTTTTTCTGGCTACTTGGTGTTGTTGCCCAGTTTACTTTGACCTCCTAAAAGCAAAGATTATATTTAATACAATTATTAGGCATATCATTATGAGTTGTTAACACTTACCACTTAATATATCATTTATCAAGTTGGATTATTTGTGTAAAGGCACTAGGCTGAATAGAGATCACTCAGTAGCTGATTGTCTATTTTAAATCTTGCTAAGAAAGAATGCAGAGTGATTTAACATGCAAACACACACATTTACTGGATGCCATCATCCCATTATCTTACCTTTCCCAAAATTTTTCTGCCATTCATAGCAGCTAATGCAGCAGCTGCATCTCTGTGTTCATAAAATTCCACAAAGCAATATGGATCATTGCTTGTATGCTGCAAAACAGAAAATCCAACAGAAGAGTTGACCCTTCTGCTATCGGGTTGCTGAGAAGAAAATCCAGGAAAAAACATTACTGACAGCTAGGAATGCACAGGTGAGACTGTACAAGCTTATGAAAGCCTAACACTTAAGACTTAAGCTGAACTTCAGAATACTGTTGTATTCCAGCAGAGCCACATGAATAGTAAAGAATCATGACCGTGAGAATTAAGACATACAAGTCTGGTGAAGCATGTTTAATACTAATCCTAATCTTCTACCTCAGGCTTAGTGAGGACTGTTCCTAATCACTGCTCTTTTCTTCCAAAATTATTCTTATTATTAGGTTTTGGTTTTTCAAGACAGGGTTTCTCTGTGAAACTCTGGCTGTCCTGGAACTCACTATGCAGATCAGGCTGTCCTCAAACTCAGAGATCTGCCAGCCTCTGCCTTCCAAGTGCTGGGATTAAAGGTGTGTTCCACCACCACCTGGCGCCAACATTATTTTAAAAGGCTGATTTCTATTTACGTTTTATAATCCTTTATATACTATATACCAGACTTATAAAGGTAAAAAAAAAAATACAAAAATGCAGCCAGACATGGTAGCGCACACCTTTAATCCAAGCACTTGGGAGGTAGAAGCAGGCAGATCTATGACTTTGAGTTCGCCTGGTCTACACAAGAGCCCCAAAACAGCCAGGGCTAGATAGAGACCCTGTCTCAAAAAACAAACAAAATATATAGAAATGAGTCCATTTTACCTCTAAATCAAAACTAGGGCAGTGGCTACTATAATATACAACATTTTGTATTGCTACACAAATTGGATATAATGCATTCCTTGTCTAGAAGAGGAGAGAAAGAATAAAAATAGAAAAATTCAAGATTTGTAATTAGTTGCTGAAATGAATTGTCCATCTTCCAAAATAGACATGATAGCTAGGCAGGATTACACAGACCTGTAACTGTAGCAGTTGGGAAGCAGAGGCAGGAGGATAGAAGACTGTAAATTCAAGGTCAGTATATGTACACACATATATGACACCAGCTTTAAAATGAAAAATTTTTAAAGGCCCAATATACTGGAGAGCAAAGATATTTTGAATATGTCTTTCAGTGTCCAAAAAATACACTAGTAATCTAGAATATGATTGGTAAAAATGTATTTACATATTCTGGCATGGTGGTACAGCTCAGTGGTAGGGCAAAATTGCCCACCATGTGTCAGGGCCTGAGTTTGCTACTCAGTATCTTAAAACCAAGTAACTAAATAAATATTAAGTAAACATAGGGCAAAGCTAAAACTTTGTATCACAAAACACCAAGATAAAAAACAAAACAAAACTTCATTAGTTGGCAAATACATAGCTACTAAGGATGCTAAGAAATTAGAGCTACCTAAAAAAACACATATATTTTTAGAAAACTGAAACCTATACTGGCCAGCAGCTCAGCTGACATATCCTTTATATTTGATTAAAAACATTTAACACTATTTAATGTAAAACGCCCCAAGAGAATAACACATTTTATTCTCTTTATGTGAACTTTATATATACTTTTTGTGAACTTACTAGGAATAAAAATGTCAGATAAAATAAAGATCTTTTGAACAACCACTGTTTTTCATCCCAGAAAACTTTTGTAGAAAAATCCAAAAAAATGCAGCAACCAGTTAGGCAGTAGTGGTGCACACTTTGGAGGCAGAGGCAGGCAGTTTTCTGTGAGTTCAAGGCCAGTCTGGTCTTCAGAGCTAGTGCTGAGACAGCTAGAGTTGTTATACAGAGAAACCTTGTTTTGAAAATCAAAACAAAACGAAAATAAAAGATATAGCATCCAGAGGCATTTCTTTGGGGTAGAGGGAGGGATTATTAGCAATGAAAAGAAAGTATGGGCTCTCACATAAAATCCTATTCTCATATCCATGACAAGAGAAAGAGGTAGAAAAAGGAAAGGAAATAGGAGAGATGATTCCAAATATAGTTTTCTCCTATGAACGAGTTTACCAGACACATTCACTAAAGACTAGCAGACCACAAAAACAAGCAAACAAAAAAACCAATGTGGGCCAGGCTTGGTGGAGTACACATTTAACCCATGCAGTGGAGAGGCAAAGGCAGGTGGGTCTTGGTGAGTTCAAGTTCAAAGTCAGTCTAGTCTACACAGCAGTTTCAGGACAGCCAGGGCTATATAGTGAGATCCTGTCTAAATAAAATTAGGAAACTAGTATATTTATGCACTGTATTAGCAATTTCATATAACTAGTAGCAGACCAGCTCCTATATGTTCATATGGGTGTTTTCATATTCTGTTTGTGTGGATTGTGTACAGTGGCTTTCATCTGTGGGGAAAACTTCTAAGATCCCAATGGATGCCTGAGATCTATGACAGCATCAAGTAAGTACTCTACTGTTTCTTCTTTTCTTTTTTTTCTTTCTTGGTTTTTGAAGACAGGGTTTCTCTTTGTAACCCTGGACCAGGCTGGCCTAAAGGTGTGTGCTACCACAGACCTGCTATACTGTTTTTCTTATAATGCCTGCTTCCATCTTTCATTGCTTTTGAGACAAGGTCTTGCCACAGGACTCTGGTTGGCCAGGCACCCTATCCATCGGTAACACCTAACACACTGTGGCCAGCACAGGCTAAGTGGAGTTTTAGGTGTGACAGAAGCACTAGGATTAATTTATTTTCCATTTTTGACACTTTCATAGAAGATTCTCTTCTATTGCTAATCTTTACAAACTCAGCATGTAGTTTTCTGTAGTGATATCTCATTTGTATTTTAATAAGTAAAGCTCGCCTGAAGATGAGAGAGTAAAACAGCTACACTGGCCAGCTGTACAGACCAGGCAGTGGCGGCACACACCTTTAACCCCAGTAGCCACACTAGTGCGCCACAGAGGCCGGCATCAGTGGTGCACACCTTTAATCCCAGCACCAGAGAGGAATATAAACTGGGATGAGACAGGAACTCATTTTTTTTCAGTTTGAGGATTTTTTTTTGGTTTTGGTTTTTCGAGACATTTCTCTGTAGCTTTGGAGCCTATGCTGGAACTAGCTCTTGTAGACCAGGCTGGTCTTGAACTCATAAAGATCCACCTGTCCCTGTCTCCCGAGTGCTGGGATTAAAGGCGTGTGCCACCACTGCCCGGCTATCTGAAGATTTCTTAGAGGTAAGAACTCTCTAGTGACTTGGCTGCTCTGTTTTCCTGACCTCCAGGCTGAACCCCAATATCTGTCTCTGGGGTTTTTATTCGTGCTATAGTTTTCTTTTCTTATTAACTTCAGAATTTTCACCTTTTCACTTAAAGGAAGCAAAGGAAGCACTTTCCGTCTTATCGTTGGGATTTCTGAACTGCCAGCATTACTTCACACCGAGGCCATTATTCAGTTCAAGCTCCTGGAACATGAGCACTAAATAGATGCTTCAGTCATCTGATGACATCACAAAGTGACTAACGGTGGGCAGCACACACAACCTCAACATGCTGGATACAGAAATACTTCGTGCCTCATTCTCAACACTAAGGGATTTTTACCACGCCACTTAGATCTGTATCTAAAAATACCTGAATTGGGCTGGGCATAGTGGCACACACCTTTAACCCAGGATGCAGATGCAGGTGGATCTCTGAGTTTGAGGTCAGTCTGGTCCATATAGCAAGTTCCAGAACAGTCAGGGATACATAAGACCCTTTCTCAAAAACAAAAACCAAATTTCTAATTGTTCTCTTGTGAAATGTTCTATTTTCATTCATATTTTGAATGGCAGATGATCAGAGCTAAAGGATGATATTGTATTTAAATATCTACATCACATTGTTTGATCCATGTTTTAAAACTTAAGTCAAATCCTAACTCAACTGACAGATGTTAAAACTTTTAATGCTTGTCTTAAAATTAGAGATTATATGTATATATATACTGCATATCATTATATTATTAAAAACTAGAATCTATGATAACATCTGATACAGGAAAAAGAGTCCAAACAGGTGCATATGGTTGCCCAGGCCTGTAAGCCCCAGCACTCAGGATATCCCCCATGTTCAAGACCAATATGGTGAGTTTCAGGACTATGTAGCAAGACCCATCTCAACAAAAAAGGCCAAATAAAAAGAAATCATAAAACAAAAAACAGGTAAGGGCAAAGTTGGTAAAATAAATAAATAAATAAAAGAGAGGGAAAAAAACCCCAAAAAACCAGAATTCTTTTGGGGGGGGCTGGTTATTTATTTGTTTATTGATTTATTTATGTTTTTTGAGACAGGGTTTCTTTGTGTAGCTCTGACTGTCCTGGAACTCCCTGGCAGATCAGGCTACCTCGAACTCAGAGATCCACCTGTCTCTGTCCCCCAGCTAAGGACAGGATTCTTTATATAACAAAATCAAATTTATAAAAGGAAGTGTCCAGATGTTAGGTATTCCTTCCTAGAACCCATGTCCTTTAGAAACTTCCTACCTAGACCACTGCCCAAGCAACACTCTTAACAATCAATTGAGTCCTTACCTTAATTAGTCTGGTCACCATTACTGGATGACATAAATGTCAAGTCAGAAAAATGAGAGACTTTTAAACTATTTAAAGTTCAAATCTAGGAACTGTAAGACACGGCTAAGCTGTGAAGAGTTCTACTCCTCAATGTCTGTATGCACATAGATTTTTAAATATTTATCAAATGTCTCTCAAAAACATTCTAATAGCCGGGTGGTGGTGGCACATGCCTTTTATCCCAGTACTCAGGAGGATCTTTGTGAGTCTGAGGCCAGCCAGTGTGAGTTCCAGAACAGGTTCCAAAGCTACGGAGAAACCCTTTCTCGAAAAACCGAAAACAAACAACAAACAAAAAACAGCAAAAAAAGTTCTAGTGACTCTCCACTTTTTGCATCCTCTACACCCTGAAATCACTTTACCTACATGTTAAATCACCAGGGGTTTCTCCACCACCACCTGACCCTCCTTTCTGTTCTTACACACATTCAAAACATCTGACTCCCACCCTCCCTCCTGTAAATGTTCTCTTCTGTTGATGCCACAGCATATCTAGTGTCCCCACTTCCTCTCTGCAGGATGTTTCAGAAAGTCATTTGTCCCCTCTTAACTCTGACTGGAACTCTTGGATACCGAGCTGTTTGTTCCACCCTGCAGGCCTCAGATCTCAGTTCGTCCATCCCCCACTTTCTACCACCCCTCTCTAGGTGATCTTACTTACACGGCTTCAAATATGACTGTATGCATCAGCACTGGTCTCTCCAAAATTCCAAACTCATTTATCCAACTGCCTACATATAACTTGTATTTGTATAGCCAAAGTGTATCTTAAATTTAACACTGCCAAAACAGAAGTCTTGATTGCTACCACTCCTCCATCCATCCTGTGCCTTTCTCAGTCATTCCCATTTTAGTAAGTAGCATGTTAGCACCCACACAATTGCACTGACAATCTAAGTCTCCCTGTTTCTTACAGACATTCTAGTCCTACTGCTCTTACCTCCAAAATAAAATACTGTCTTTCTTCACCACCATCCTAAAACTCAACAACCTATAACCTCGGTGCAAACTAGCAGAATACACTAGCCCGGTTTCCCCTGTTCTTGTACCCTACAATCCTACACAAATTACTCATTTCCACACAGAACAATCTTTAAAATACAAATTAAACCCTGTCTTCTCTTTGGCTAAAAAAAAAATCTCTCCAACAACCTGGCATTTTGATCCCAGCTCTGTCAAGGTCTACACTGCCCTAAATGACTCTGAATCTTCCCTGTCTTGCTGGACTCCGTCCCCACCACCACCTTCTACCACCCACTAGATGCCAGTCATCTCTTTACCCCTTTGAAGCCTTTGCTACTTGCGTTCCTCTGCTCCAGTCCTTAATCACAGATGGGACCATCTTGGTATTCCTGCCTAGACTAAGAAGTGACATCTTCCTTTACATGTGGCCTCAGCCTCATCAGCCCCGTGGTCATCACAGAACATTTACTCTTGCCATGGCTCTTATCTCTATTCTTCTGAAGCTTCATTTGCTTCTCCATTGCATTCCCAGTACCTTCAACAGTGCCCATGAAAAATATTATTTTCCATTAGTGAAAGAATAAAAGTATAATCAAAGTTAGGAATGAAAAGAAGGAAAAATATATACCAGAATAGAAGGTAACTATTGGCAATTAGAGTAAAAGGCCAATCCTCTTCACAGATTCTTACAGTTCTAGGTTAGAACACCAGCTTTAAACACTCTTGCCTCATCACCTGCTGGCATCTCTGTGACTAATTCTACTTCAAACTCTACTTATGCATCTACTGAAGACACCTGCCAGGAAACAGATCTCTGGTTTTTCTTTTCCACAAGCACTCCTGTTCTGCCATAGACTCTTCTTCCTCAGACTTCATACAGAAGAGTTATCTATTACCCTTTCGGCTCCAGTCTGTACTGACTCCTAGTAGAAACGCCCCATGACCCACAACCACAGTGACTATTCTCCTGATGTTCCCACAGCAGTGTAAGCTATCTGGTCCTCTAGCACTTCTATTCTATTTCCTATGTGAGGGTTGATTTCAGTCCCCTACAAGCCTGTAAAATCTTACGGGGCCAGGAACTCTCTTATTCACCACCGGATTCTTAGCACTTACCATAGTATTTAGTACACAGCAGTCAAAGAAAAAATTGATAAACAATCAGAAAGGAAGAAAAGAGTAACTGACACATGCACTACTGGGTACAACTAGTCTTAACTGAGAAAAGTAAAAATTTTCTTTGAAAATAAGACAAAACTTCTGGATTTTATTTTGGTACTAGGGGGTGATGAACCCAGAGCCTTGCATATTATAAGTTCATATTCTACCACTGAGCTACATTCCTAGCCTAAATAAAATTATTATAATAGTTTAAATTCCTATGTACACAAAATTGTTCAGACCTTAATATTTACTAAAGATACATGAGATGCAAACTGCTCTGCTGAGCACATAATAACCGGATGTTGGCTTCAACACTTACCAGTCCCTTCACTTGACATGTAGACTGAGCTATCGGCGCTTACACTGGAGAATGTGAAATACCATCGCCTTACATCTTTCTCAGACGGGCTATTTATGAGTTAATTACATAATGGAGGACATGCAATGATAGTGCAGAGTCTTTGCCTCCTCCCCAGCTCACTGGCCAAATCAATACCACACACATGAATCTCTCCCACAGAGCAATCTGAGGCTTAAGATGATTTTTTAAATGGTGTTAATCAACTCATGTACCAACTACAAATGTCCAATATCAGGCAAGGGATGACACTCCTAACCAGGAAGATCTTACCTCTGTTATCATTTTACAGCTTTTACAGGGTCCGATCTGACTGAATAACTGGAGTATAAGGACTTCTGTCACATCTCTGGAGAGGTTACCTACGTATCTGAATGAAGAGAGGAAAAAAACATTATCAGCAATGTTTCTTTGACTACAGCTCTGATGTGTTATTATTTAATTCATCTTTTATTTCAAGTTTCCGTCTATGATAATTTTTCCAGTTAAGCCTATGATAGCTATATTTCCAATTTCAGAATAATTTGTAACATGAATATGGCAAATATTGATTTACTAAAACATCTTGATGATGAACTAATACTAGACAGCAGTTGTTAGTGGGCTCATCTCAACACTGCCAACCAAAACAATTTCATGAACAAAGAAGAGAGTGAGAGTCAAGTTGTTCTAGCAGAGCAGAGGGTGGGTGGGTGGAGGAGCTGAGGTCTGCTTCAGTTTGGGCTAAAGAAGACCGTTAGTGATGGCACATCTTCACTGCTTTAAGAACAAGGGAATTAATAATTTATACTTTCTATCAGCATCAACAAAACAATCTTTAGATAACAAATAAATTTAAGAATTCTTTAGAAATTCAGAGGAAAATTTAAGATAGACCCAAATATGCTTTTGACTGGATATTTAAAGGTTTGAGTTTTTTTCCCTAATTAGCAGTTGATTAAAAATTTCAGTGAGAAAAAAGAAAAATCAACACCTAATCCCCCAAAGATGATCACCTTGGTTTATGAGTTCATACAACTTGATTTATGTCTTATATTCTCAATAAATTGCCAAAATCTTTCTGGTTCTCAACAAATAACACCTGAAGTGTACATTTGTCAGGAACAACTCCATAAACCAAAACATTTCTTGTAAAATGTGACATGGTTTCTTCTGGGAAGTAAAAAGATACCATTTTACTTTTCTGACCACAATACAACATTAGGAACCAGTGCTGAGACCAAAACAAGGCTTGCAACAGTTGCCACGTTAAATACATACAAAGCTTTCAAATGAAACATGCTAAAAGAAAAAGGGTTGGAAAAAGCTAAGCTTAAGAAAAACCTAAAATGATTGGTTAAGAATGGGTAGGAGCTGGGGCTAGAGAGGTGGCCCAGTCATTGAGCATGCTTGCTGTTCTTGTAGAGGACAGAGTTCAGTTCTCAGCACCCAGGTCTGGCAGCTCACAATTAATTGTCTGTAACTCCAGTTCCAGGGAATCTAACACCCTCTTCTGGACTCCTCCAGTACCTGTGTA